TATTCGAAAACTAAATTCAAAATATCAGTCTCATCAAATTAAGGATAAGATACGACATAAAAATTTCCCAAGTTTTCTTGTTTCAATATTTATCTCATTCCTACAACCAGAATTACATTTTTCAAATCTTTTCACATGAAAAAGGTTTCGAGAGGAGGCATTTCTCATTTTTATGTCCCCAAAAATTCACCTTCCATGAATATAAGTTTATGAAATTTAGTCAATTTCCATTGCCGAGATTTTCTCAACAAATCAAAATCACGATCAACTCTATAATGGAACAAAACAATATATAATTTCAATTATCAAGTCCTATTTTTTTTATCACATGCTCAAAATTTTTTCGGACATCAAATTGAAAAATAATTATACTTTCCCCGAAAATGGTTCGTTTTACGGCATTCTAACACGCATGCCTTTTTTATGTAAAATGGTTTGAAAAATCATATTCTGGTTGTAGGAATGAGAAAAATATTGAAACAAGAAAAATTGGGACATTTTTATAGCATCGGTTATGAGTTTCGTACCTCCCTGTATATTAAATGATGTATTTCATACTACGATACGATTTGTAAGACCAAATCACCCTTAGGTATGTAATTTCGTCATTGTAGGATCAATGATAACAAGGATAATTGAAGAAAACGGCATTTAAGAATAAGAATATACAAGGGTTCTAGCGGCTCTAGGAATCATTTTCGGACACAAATGTTGATAGGAACCATAGGAACATATTTTCTTATTTTTATTTGCAGAATTACCTCCCAGAGTATACGATCGTTATCTATAAGTTTACATAAAATCCGGACAATATTCCCAATTAGAGCCAGCGTCTTGGAATGTCTGAATAAAAACTTTTCGCAGAATCCGCATAGCCTTAAGGCTCAGTATGGCTCAGCGGTACTGAGTTAGTGTTAGTTAGTCTTTATTGATACAATGAGATTGAAAAAGCAATTGGACAAGTCAGTACATATCAAATACAGTTTAAAATACAAATAATAAGGCCTGTTCGTTTGTATTGGTAAACTTGCTAAAGTTGATTCTTTTCCCATATTGGTCTCTTTTCATGACATGATGTAAACAAAGAAAGTCATACGGATATTATAATCATGCAATAATTGGTTCTGTTCGAAATCTACAATGAGTAATCTTTGACAAAACTTCCAGAATGTTCGCATATGCATTGCAGACAAAGAGGAAGTTCATAAAGCGATCTAAGTCCAACGAAGTACTGTCAATTACTGATTCCGTACTAATTCATGAGTAGAATATTATCAGTCATTCGAAAAATATACTGCTCAACCAAACCAAAATTTCGAGAATCAGACAAAGACAGGAAGGAGTTGATTTCAGACACCCTCAGCAAGCCGAAAAAAAAATATACATGGTGATCCATTTGAAATAAACTGCTCAGTGCGCCGAACTCACAACAATATGATTACTACAAAAAATCAACATTGGCCAGTGAGTAGAACAGAAGAAAAATATACAAAAGTCCCACTAAAAAACAATCATTACTTCTGGTAATGCTTGAAATTAGTTGTTTCCACAGATATGCCTAACCCTATATAATATGTGTCTAAGGACGTATTTCCAAGAACGTATAATGTTTGTCTAAGGCTAAAATTGATACCTGGCCACCAAGGTTAAAGTTATTCGAATCATTAACTTTAAGTGTTATATATAACTGCGTGCCAGTTTGGGGTCTCAGATATCTTGAAGTGCTTGAAAGAGTTCAAATATCCTTTCTTAAAAGAATTCTTTTAGTTTCCACCAATACACCCGATGCCATTGTTCGCTTAGAAACTGGGAGGGTGAAACTTGCTTATAATGTGCTTAAAATATCCGTGAACTGGATTTGCAAAATACTGTCCATGGAAAAACATCGATACCCAAGGCTTTGTTTTGAACAGCAAAGGCGTATTATAAATTACGCGGACCCTAAATATAATTGGCTTTTGCAAATGAAAAATTTTTTTGTTGATTCTGACTCCTTGCTTTTATGGAATGATCTGAATTATAATAATTTATTCAAACATAGAAATACTTTATATGCTAAATATTATACATTCTTACATGACTCAGATCGTTCAATATCTTCCCGTTACCCTTTTTTGTATATTTACAATCTGCTTGGAACTTCCAGGGTACCTAGCACTTACTTACTATTGAAATTACCCATCCAAATCACCCGCACTCTTGCCCAACTACGTATGGCCAATCACTTTAAAATTAAATTCACCCTGAACGGAATTGCCTACTCCATTGACCCTGATCAAATTTGTCCAGTTTGCAACAGGAACGAAAATGAAACTCTCCTCCATATTATTTTTGACTGTCCGATCTACACTGTCATGAAACAAGGAGCTCCATGTCTAAGGAATTTGGAAACATTAATCATTGCCTTACAAAAAATAACAATCAGTGATGCTAGAATAATTTCTGAATATATATTTGGAATATCCTTAAGCTAAGATCATTTATTTTGAATGAATAAACTATAATTGTATTATTTTCTTCTTCAATAACTATTGACATTTATTTTATACTTGAACTTGGTAGGTTTTAATGTTCAATCGTTTTTTTTTTTTATTCATTTCCAGAGTACAAACATACATATTATCCATTTTTTTTCTGTCATACACTCGTTGCTGTAAACTTGTTTAAGAAGCAATAAACTATTATTATTATTATTATTATTATTATTATTACCCTTAACTACTAATCGTACGTCTCAGAGACGGCATATCAGCATCCGATTTGTTGTAATTCATGTCCACCCAGCACTCATTCAGTACCCTGAAGTTGATTTGAGTGAAAGATAGATTGCCGTCTCATAGACGTATAGTTAGTTATTACGTAACAATAAAAGTTCAATTTCGTCTATAATACGTATGATTGCCTCTATATTTAGATATTCAGGCATTGTCATTTTTTACAATTTGCATGTGTATGTCTTAGTTCTGTGCCATATTTTATTACGACTCTAACTGTATTCAGAATGACTATAATATCATCGATAATCATACTAGTATTTCAATTTCATTTAGGTATTCCAATAGATTAATGTCAAAATTATAGGTACTTCTCTATGAAATGTTGATCGCCTCTGAAATTTGTATTTCGTCTTGATATTATGAATAACGCGTCTTCCTCTATAATATGAAGTAAATGGTCCCATTTCTATAACAATAATAACGAATTCAAATTTCGAGAAAACTATTTTCTTGGTTTGAGAGAAGGTATCTAGCGGGGAATATGAATTACTCGAATAGAAAAAAATATTCATTCTATGATATACAATATACAGGGTGGCATTGAAATAAGTACAGATATATCAAACCCTGAGGAAGCTCGACGTATACTACCGAATGGCACCAATGAAAAAAATCTAGGGATCAAAATAACATTTTTCCCCCAAACTTATATTAGCAAATGGCGTACCTGATAGAATTAGATAAAATCTGAAACAAAATATTCTGAATAAATATCGAAAAGCCGATAAGGCAGCGAGTAATCATCTCCTGTGCCTTCTATATAGAGCTGATTTTGTGAGTAGGTATTAACCACCGAATAACGAAGGTACTAACGTATCTATCTTCATGGTGCCAAATTATGAAATGTCTCTTTGTTTTGTGAAGTCTGATGTACGTTTTTAGTACGATTGTCCTTTTCTAGTACATTTCATGCACATTTAATACGTCAATACAATTAACAATAACTCAGTAAACAAACAAAAGCCGGATAACCCAAACTGTTATTGCATACAAAGGAATTAATAGGAGAAAAAATGTGTTTTAATTGGAATCCTAATGGAGCCCTCTTGATGATATAAATTCCATAATTTCAATTTCACGAACGGAGGAACAAGCTGCGTGTATTATACTGATAGTTAAAACTAAAGCTGAATTGATTTGACTTGGAATCATTGATTTCATCTTATTGATGGCAGTATTGATCTCAATCTATGATGTGTTCCTTTTTACTTTATACATATTCTTTCTCATTTTCGTTTTTTTTAAGGGTCATTGTTTCAGGACCTACGTTTTTTAGAGGTATTTTTATGTGATGCACCTATATAATTTTTTTTTTTCATTTCCATGAATTAATATGCAGTTCTTCATCAAATGTGTTAATCGTAAATTTCGAAGTTCTACTCCATTCATCTTTCGTAGACTGCAGGTTCGTCGTCTGTTATTTTTTCAATTTAGTACAATTTCGGAATGACTTCTAGTACAAATTGAGATTCTGAAACGGCAACACTGATATCGTGAATCGTGATATCCACTCTCCAGGTGATCTTCGGGCAAGACGCATACTATTTTGCTGCAGTTGTATATGGACAACACAGGTTCTTCTTGAAAGGCCAACTTCAGTTCAGATTGCTCTATAACACACTTGGAGGGCAGTGTATTTTGGAACGGTATTATCTTCTAATTCTTGTCTTGAATTGTATAACCCACCCATCGGAATATCAAGGATGCTATGTAGACGTTCAACATACGCTTTTCGAATAGAAATTTGTAGCAAGCAATTAAAATGCTATTGGATTTATGTGTCAGATACGTGATGAAGTTGTGATACTGTGCATAAGAAACACGATATCTATCGTTAAAATATTCACGATAAACCAACTCGTCTTCAAACATTCAATTTATTCTCAACCAGATCAATGTGTATTGGTTTCATAGGTTCCATCAGTGAATGGCATATACGGGGTGATTCTCAACTTAGTTACAGTAGTTACACGCATAAACTTGGGAGATGATAGCTTAGGGTAAATTATGACTACTCATATGATGCAAAAATATGTTTTCAAATGTTATATAATGGAGAGATATGAATTCCAGAACATTCATTGTGGCATTGTAAACCAATTTATCTTTGAAATTATTCAAAACTGCTGCGTTCACCATTTTCAATCACCGAGCCATATATTCATGTTGAAACTGCTTGAAAGAAACTTAAAGGGGAATACAAATCATGTTTTTCTTTTTCAGAAACTACCAGGAGTGTATTACATAGAAAGAGTTCTTTAGCACTGACTCCAGAGGAAGAACCGTTGGATATCTATGTAAGTAAATTAGCATTTGCATTATACCCATATCAGTTCATCAGAATGTTAATTTTTTATGCTTCATAGGAACAATAGTATATATAATATTTTCTCCAATTTTTCCAAAACGTTTCGAAATATTTGAACTTTATGAATATCGCAGATGATTCCATGGAACGATCATTGAGCTGATCTACATAATAAATAATATCGTATTGACCGCCATAGTTGAAATCGTTGCCATTGGTCAAAAACTGTCCATGCCGAAAGTCATGGTTATTTGAATAGCTCAAATTCACACATGACAGTGACAGCTCGCATATAATTTGTGTTATGATATTATTCCAAACATCTTTTATAAAATACTGTCTGTAGGTTAATCGAGGAGGTACATTCATAACTTGAAGAATTGCTTTCAGCTGTAATAAATTTCGTACTTTTAACTATATTTGGTTCAAAAAATGGTTCATGTTTCATTGGTTGCATACGCATCGGTATCTATGTGTGTATACTGCATAGGTATCATTGTCATTGACACTATTAACAGCGGTTTCAGCTTCCTATGCAAATGCAAAATTCGCTTGTCAAACAAAGTGTCAATTTTAAGCCAAATAATACAATCTACTATTATAAATTTATTATTATTCAACTAGGTTCGAAAAGGGTTACTTCTCACTAGAAGAAATCCTCGAATAATGGTGATTTCTCAGGTTAGTGATGAAAAAACATATGCAGTGCAGTATACGTTTTATTAAATGAACACTGGTGGATTTTTCGAAAAATCATAGATGGCTTATTTTCACAGTCAAACTAATCTCAAAGTCTTTTTGAACCATCATATACATATTTTAACATAATTTCTATTTGGGTTTTCAGAGAACATTCACCCTCAAAACTGAAATTTGCCGAACATCAATATATAATTGTATACTCGGGAACAAAATATGAATTTGAAAATAAATATCCTTATAATTATTTATTATTTTTTCTTCCAAATCAACGTTGTTTAGTTTCCTGAGTTGATAGCATTCAAAATTTTACAATTATTAATTCGATTCATTAGTTTCCGGAGGAAAATAAGTGAAATATAAAATATTATGCCTCTCTGAGAAATATATTGACGAGCTTCATATTCAATTTGCTATCATCAGGCAGCATCTTTTTAAAAAATTCAGTCAATTTGGGAAAATAAAAGTCGTGTAGTCATTAGTCAAGCGACAGAATTAACCTCAGTTCAGTTCTTTCACAAAGAACCTTCCTAAGGTTGGCTTGGGTATTAATTTACACCAAATTTCACAAAATTCCTTTTATTTTTATCATAAAAAGACTGAGCTAGGGTTTCCCTATTTACGTTTTCAGCACACCAAAGTACTTATGAAAGACGTGTCCGTTCTCTTTCATCAAAAAATTGAAATGAATTTTTCATGAATGCCTCGGAATATCCAGTGGCGTACTGGCATTTTCGTCTAAAACAGCAAACCAATTTTACACCATTAGATTCAGTGATAATATAATATACAGAATGTCTCCAAACGCCCCCCCCTCTATATCTCAACTATTAGTTGTTTTTTTTATCGCTTGGAGCGCACGAAAGAGAATCCCTATAATGTTCAAAGAACTTCTGGAGATTATATGTTGTTGGGAATACTTCCTCAGGCAATGAATTCCAGAGCCTAGCCGTTCTATGAATGAAGGAGTTTTGATAAAGTGCTGGTCGACATCTTTCGAGGTTGACAACGAAAGGATGTGCTGACTGGGCTTGTCTAGTTCGTCTGACTGGTATTGCTAGTAAAGGGATGATAGCAGAGATTTCCAAAGCACATTTCCCGTGGAAGTATCGATAGAAAAGTGAAAGGTCGCCGACCTTTCTACGGTGTTCCAATGATGTCGAAGAGTGAGTGAGTGTGGCGTCACCCACCAGGCGGATGGCTCTTCTGTGGACGGAATCCAAGAGCATCAGCGTATGTTTTGGTGCTGAACCCCATATGTGGGAACAGTATTCCAGAACAGGCCGTATCTGCGCTTTGTAGATCATGAGAAGCTGTTGAGGTGAAAAGTAGCTTTTCGCACGGAACAAGAATCCGAGCTTTCGTGAAGCAGCTTTTGCGATGGATCTGACATAATTATCCCATGAAAGAGTGTTGCTGATGGAAAAACCGAGCATAGATATGGTGGGCTTGGTGGAGATGATGTTGCCATGCAGACATTACAATGTCGTGCATACTGAGTTCCGCCTTTCTAGAGAAAATACAGGCTTGAGTTTTGGTGGCGTTGAATTCAACTAGGTTGTTGGTTCCCCAGGCTGTGATTTCAGCAAGGTCTCCATTGACAGCATAGACCTGCCTGCGCCGTAAGCTCTTAGTTTCCTGGGAAGAAATGGGAATTCTGGAAGAGAACGCAGTATGAAGGGTACTATCATCTGCAAAGCTGTGGATGGGGCAAGTTGTTACTCCCAAAAGATCATTGATATGAAGAAGGGATAATGTTGGTGCCAAAATTGATCCTTGTGGAACGCCGGAATTGATGCCAATGGTATCAGACGATACACCGTCCACCACCATATGAAGCGATCTGCCTGAAAGAAAACTCGATAAGAGATGGCATAGCTGAGTTGGGGGATTCTCACCAAATTTGGACTACCATCAATATTATTGAGATAAAAGGGAGGGGTGGTGGTATTGCTACTGATGGAATGACATGAGCATGGATTTTTAAAGCCCATCTCCCGTGGAAGTATCTATAAAAAAGGGAAAGGTCGCAGACTTTTTTACGGTATTCCAATGATGCTAAGAATTAGTTAGTGTGGCATAAGAAAACAGCAGTACATATACTTTGCCACTGTGAGGGCTTGTTAAGACTAAGGTTCCTCACCTGACAGCTAGCCTATGGAGTCTCATACAAAAGGCGAGGCTAGCCGAAGAACTTTAGGCTGTATCAAGTCATTCGTTGGACCTCAGTGGTGATACCAGGATGGTCAATAGTTGACTCGACTCCCGTCAAAAGTTAACGTGGTAACTTTGTGGGCAGGTTTGAAACGTGACCTATATTCTCAAACAGCTGTTTGGCAGACTGACGGTCAGACTTCACACTGGACGTATGTGCCTGGTCAAACCACAGACTTGACAAATCCTTAAACGATTTCGAGGGCAGACACAATAGATCTGAAAACGTCAAGGTGTGGAGGCAGATAGCCCGAAGGCCCCACTCTAAACCTAATCTAGTGTGGCATATGAGGCTGTTGAGGTGTAGAATGGCTTTCTGCACGGAATAAGAAATGGGGTTTTTGTGAAGCAGGCTTCGCGATTCATCTGACATGATTTTTCCATAAAGGAACATTACTGATGATGATACCGAGCATAAATATTGTGGACTTTGTGGAATATGTTTGTAAAGTGTGTTCTTACTACCAAAGTAGTTTTCGTCATTTGGTGAACCACTAGTCAATAAAGACATAGCCACCTATATTATAGCTGATCCGGAGATAACCAACGTCAATTTGCATTGTCTACGAGACACAAACTGTAAACCGAATTAAAAAAAAATGTGGTCACTGAGTAGGGACTTTTTTGAACCTATGTTTATTATTTTGAAGTACGACTATGGTGACTGGCAAGCGAGTTCGTTAATCAAATATTTGCACTTCAGTCATTCGGTTTTGTTGATGTTGGTCGATGTTTTATCTGAGGAATCGATCACAAAAAAATTACAAGCAACTGAAGTAACAGGCTGGATGAAAGAGAAGAACATAATATATCGAACTCTGATATGACCTTATATCGAGCCTTATATTTGTTGAAAACATCGTTTTACAGACCACCAATACAGGGTTTTTCACGATGAGACTAAATTTGACGTTTCAGGAAAACCAATCTGGAAAATCTTGATGGTGTGATGAAATTGACATGATCTACACGTCTAAAATATTTTAAACGATGCGGCGTTGCCTCTTCTACTAGAAAGTATCAATGCATCACACTTGGGGTCTAGCGGGAATGATTACAGAGATATAGAGTATTCAAAATCGAGATTTTTCAAGTTTAGAATTTGTCCCAATCTTAACTTTTGATTAACTAACCACTGACATTTATTTGGAAAATAAACAGGGTGGTTCATGATTCAGAATTATGATCACTCTGTACCTGTTCCAATTGAATGTCAGTAGATAGTAAATAAAAAGTTAAGATATTGACATGGAAGCGGTTTTGACCGATAATCAATATTTTAGACCCAAAAAATTCTCAAGTTGAAAATTCTCGATTTTGAACACCTCATATCTCTCTCTGTAATCATTCCCGCTAGACTCCAAGTGTAATATATTGATGAAATCATCTCTGAAGAGAAAATCTGAAACTGCAACAAAATACAGGGTGTTCCGTGTGAATAATCAAAGTTGCTGCTACTTTCTAGTCGAAGCGGCAACGCCGCATCTTTTGAAATATTTCATACGTGTAGATCATGTCAGTGTATACATATTAATAAATTCACAGATTCATCTGATGCTTGGTTTGTCATAAATGTCTAATTAATACTAATCGTTAAAAACTCTGTATACAGAAAGCATCAGGAAGTATTGAATTTTGAAAAAAAAATCATATAGAGGTGGTTCTGAATATTATACTATACATTTTACCCTTACAGTTTTCATAACCGAAATATAGAGTGAATATTGATTTCACCTCAAACTTTACTCATTAAAGGTTAATTATTAACGTATCACCCAGTATATTCATCTGGTATTTGGTACACTCCTTCCACTACCCAATCAACTAACGTAATATAGCCAGGAAAAAACATATCCGGATTGATAAAACCTCAATCTATATATATGTAATTCAAACTACTCCCTGTGGCCCTGTGTTAGCAAATTTTCGAAAGGTGATCTCAAAGTTGAAAGAAGTAGGTACAGGAAATATATTCAAACAGGAAAATTGAAAAAAAAAATCAAGTGGAGTTTATTTTTCTTGGATGAAAGCAATAAAGTTGAAGAAATAAAAATATTGATTTGGGAATAACAATAC